TGAATTAAGAGTTAAACAGCATAGTGATGGCACAGTTAACTATATTTTTGAGTGACATCGGTTACAGGTCGTTTTTTTTTTGTTTTTTTTGGTGCATGGTACCAAGAAAAGTGAACGAAAGCGAAAAGGTACACGTCCCAGTAGAGTTGTAATAAGGTCATCCTTCGTGATTCTCGGAGTTTTACTCTCAATCGGCGATCGTCGTACCAACTTATCAGACGAAAATGACTTCAAACTTAGATTGAAGTTCCGGCAAGCGGTACACTGTTGAGTCCGCATCTCTGGCTATAAGATATAATTATACTTGTATTGATATTTCAAAATCTTAATTATAAAAAAAAAAAGTAATTTTGCACGCTTAAAAAAAGACATAATTTTTTTTTATAAAGAAATATCCGCTCGGCCAGAAATATTTGCTTAATGGAATATCTTACAGTACATTATAAGTTGTCTAAGTCAGTTTACAGTCTATGAAACATGTTGCCGTTACTATAATGAATATCGAATTTCTGTAAATATTATAACGTTTAGAAATTATCAATATCTGTGTGAGAAGAACCAAATTTTTACAGTTACAATCATTGTTCTCTGTTGTTATGTATCAGATGAATCTGAAATATATTAGTTCGTTTTTCAATGCGTTCAAATATTGCATGACAATAGAACAGGTTGATTCTCAACTTGAGGTCATTGACAGCCATATGACTAATGAACCAAGGTCTGTAGGAGAGTCTAACTGAGTAAAAAGTATACAATAATTGTACCTTAACTGCAATGTTCTGTATGAAAATTAATTTATTTTTGTCAGTCCAGCGGAATTTGACCCATGAATAAATTTGAAGAACACAAACCAAATTGTAAGATGGTCAGTACTGTTATTTCATTACGTTTCTAAACAAATAAACCCGGAAGAAGTTCGACTATGCAAAGCTATTGGTAAGTTATATTTGTAAACAATAGTAATCTTAAACTACAAATATGCGAGTTTTAGATCGAAAACAAAAAGTAGTACCTTAAAAACAAAAAAAAAAGTTCTTAATGGACCTTCAAGTCTTGAGCATATCACGAATGTACATTTAGTTTTCTGTATTGTTATGTACGTATGTTTGTTTATTTGTAATTATGCACAAAGCTACACAATGGGCTATCTGTGCTTTCCCCACCACGGGTATCGAAACCCGGTTTCTAGCGTTGTAAGCCCGCAGACATACCGCTGATTGTTATGTAAATCGCAAGGATCGATAAATTCGTATTTTACTGACTGTTAAGTTCAGTGACATACAAAATTTATTCTTTATAATAAAGTTAGACCTACATACAACTTATTTTGAATGTAAAGTATATTCTGTAATGATAAACTTTATACAGTAAAAGTGATGGATTTATAAAATGGGAAAAAAAAAGATATGTCGTTTTTTGTAGACCATATCTTTTATCGTAAGAAATAACAAAATCAACAAAATTGAACTTTTTTGTTAAGACTTATAGTCTTACAGACTTCATTTCTTCTTAAATCTTATAAGGTAGGTGCATACACGTTATTTTTATAAATCTTGGATAAAGTCGTCTTTTTTCTAACTAGAAGTTTTGTTAACAAATGTTTCAGTATGTGTGATACTTGTCAAGTATTTTACTTACATATACTGATTGTAGCATATCAGGCTATGGTGAAACACGTCAGTTTTAAGCGACAGGGGAAGGGTAATGTGAGGGTCAAAAGATCTAATGTCCACAAACAGAATTTAATCGATCATAGACAAACTATATTTTATTTTGAAATATTCTAAGCTGTATTTTCCAAATATGTGTAGAATGACCTTGTCTAAACTTTGACGATTGATGTATACCAGGCGCAGTATAATCTTACTGATTAGTGAGTGTAAAATTTTGTTGTTGTACAGTGTGACGTATTCAGTTAAAAACAAGAATTGTGCACTAATGAACAAGTAGTAATATGGACATAATGTACAAAAGTTGCATAAAAGCTAATTTAAACGAAGCAACCCAGTATTTAATAAACTAAGATATTTCTAGTTTCGTAAATAGTATATTAATGAATCTAATTTTTGACGTTTTGTTAATAAGTGTTTCAGTTGTGTCATATTTGCTAAGTCTGTAGTTTTACTTGCATATATTAATGATATCTGCTTAAAACTTATTGGGCTATAACGAAACATGAGTTTTATACAGAAAAGTCACAGAGCACTGATTTGTAACTGATAATTAATATATTTGATGATCTTTGTATAAAAGTAGAGATTAAAAATAATATAACACACGTTACAATACCATTTTTTCAAAATCTATGTGAGGAAATATCTGTTTTGAAATGTAATATAATCAATAAACTAGTTTTTATAAACCTTAAGGTCAAAATCTGTTCATCAGTATATGATCTTACAAACCGAAATTTTACATGTTTAGTTTGCATTGAAAAATACATTATGAACAAACAATACTTGACCATAATGCACACGTTTGAATACTTTATTCGTTGATTTATGTAATGCTTCGTGGTAATTACAGTGTTTGTTTTCACACATTGTAAAACACATGTGAACTACAGTATTTACATAAAAATTGTTTTATGTTTCTAGTGTACATAAATAATATTTTAGTATATCTAATGCTTGGAGTTTTGTTTCAATATGTATATTGTTTCAATATGTGTGACATTTGTTAAGTCTGTGATTTTACATTGTTGTTGTAAAGTATATTAAGTAATCATAAAGAGTAAATATGTTGGATTTGTAAAATTGTTTTGTGTGTCTTTTGTTGCAGTGCATATCTTTCATTGTGAGAAAATAGTAAAATTGAAATAATTTGTCATGAACTTTACTATTGTTAACGTAAACTATTGACATTATGATTTTTAACTCAATATAGCAAAATTTATTTATTTATTATTGAACTCCTAGAAATACATGAATTATACACGAATTATTTCGATTATAAACTATGTTCATTTGTGAAAGAATGTATTGGGTGCTTTGGTGAACTAATGAGTGTAATTGTTATTGTGTACATAAAGAGAAATTTTGAAAGATATAGAAATAGGATTTCTGGTTTGTCAAAAAGTTTAGTTTGTAACTTTTAATAGAAACGAAAGCATTACATGTTTAAGCCTTAAGTGAACATGTCACTTGTCTTACACTAGGGTCAAGCTTTGTCAACTTGACATCGGGTGTGATAAGTAAGAATAAAATAACCAATAGAGTTGAAAAGTTCTACAGCAGTTGTATGTGTGTTAATGACACTGGTCATTAGGTATCTAGCGATTGTTTGATAGCAAACGTAAAGCAGAAAAAATGGTAAGAATATTACTTACTTATGTAAAGTGGTATATAATCGTTTTTAAAAATCAGAGTTTAGCGATATTTTAGCCTATGTGAAATAGTTTCAAACCAGAAAGAAACGAGATATACACAAATATTTGTGAACATTTCTATAGAAAGGAAAGAATATAATTTTCTGTTCTACAGGATGAATGTTTAAACATAGTTATATACATATATCTTTTAAAACTAAACTTTACTGAAGCAAATCAACTTATAAAGCTAAACATGAAATTTAAATAAACGTCCTTTTCAGGGCAAATAGATGTGACATAATTCATTAATTATAGAAATGAATTAGCAATAAGTGTTTTACGCATGAAATGTCAGAAAATGCAAAAAATATTTCATGCAAATTAAATATGGAAATCACAACTATAGTCAGTACATTAAATGTACACTAATTCGATACTTAAATGATAAACACAATCATATATACAATAATAATGGAACTATTTAGTACAATATTTGTGAAAACGAAGCATTAGGTATGATAACAACCTTTCAGAATGTATGATATATGAAGTAGAGAAGGGAAACTGTAGAACTAATGAATTAGTGAAGTATTTTATATATAAAGTGACGGATAATTACAAAAGGGTCTATGCTATAATATTTTCCTTGTTAAAATAATGGATAAATTAAGATAGTATGTGTGATAAAACTGACATATATAATTCACTATGTTATAATAGCTGTTTCGTTAAAATAATGGTTATATCTGTAAACTATTCAAAACGTTTACGACACGTGCAAAATGAAAATTATAAACATAAATTGGGACAAATTGAAATCTGTATGCAGTAGTACGAGGCTATAGTAACACTATCTGCCTGTAGAAACACCATCAGCTTTTGTAAAACAAGCGTAACACAATCGAATATATGAATGAAAAACTATAAAGCTGACCATAATGATAAGAACTAGAGATTACAATAGCAGACTTAATGTAAGTTTTACATGTAAAGTGAAACTGTAATTGTGATAGAGCTCAACATCTTTTCAGAAACTTTTCACTACTGATAATTGTATAAAAGAACGGAGTTACACAGCAGAACTTTCAGGGTAGCGGTTAAATTACAGCTGGATGATATCCTGAGCCCTCACCACGGTCGTTCAGGTATGGGTTAGTTCCATTATTAATTTTGTTACCTCTTCATTTAACCTGGATGTTGGATTTCCATGCTTCAATTTCCAGTCTTCCTCCTACTTGTAGAAAGTCCATACTCCCCTCATTTTACAACTTGGTCCTGATAATGAAATATGTGGACAACAAGCTGCTGAAGCCTGTGGAATTGAGTGATTGTCGATAATGCTGTAGTCAGGTACATCAATTATTTACCCCTCCCATGTATTTTTTTACCCCTGGTTGAGAATCACTGGGCTAGAGGATCAGCCACATGTGTAGGTGTCAAAGATGTTATTGCCAGGTCAGAATTAATGTTTGTTCTGAAACTTGCTTTCAGACATACAGTGTTAAGAATATCACTCAGGCCAAGAACTTTTTATAGAGGCTTATGTATACTCACGTGTATATTGCCCACAGTACTTGAATCCCCTGCACTTATGAAAATCCTCCAACTTTGATCACGGAAATCCAGTAGCACCAGTGCGTGAAGTAGGGTGGGATAAGGCGGGATGCCATCTCACTTCTTTTCAGGAGGACCCTAACCCATCCCGCTACCATTTAGTAGACTGTAAGCTTCTCAGAAGGGATAGGCTCAATAGACTATGCAATAAGTATTTACAGTGGCAAGAAACTTGGAAGAGAAACTGTATTTCTTTCTTACAATGTTGTGTAAGAGCGAGGCAGGAATGAGACAAAGTAGTACATGGATGGAGAGAATGAACTCTCTCCTTACAGCTCGTAACCATAGAGTAACTATCAGAGTTTCCACACTATACCTTGTAAAAGTTTTTTCTATTTTTACTTAATTTTATTGTTTTATTACCATTTAAACCGTGTCTACCTAAAATTCCCGCCACACAAATTGTAAATCATTCGGGAAACGTGCAGCTCACGTTACCATATCGAATTACATAACGCACAGCTGCTCGGGAAGAATTATTATATATATTAGTTAATTTTATAATAAGAAATAAAGAATGTACATGGAAAACTAGAAATATAATGCTCATCTTCAAAAATTTCACAAACCATCCCGCTTCCTTCTTTCTCCTACTTCAAGTTTAATTCAGGCTGGGGTGACTTTAAGCCACTATCACTTGGGTGTTACTTTCTACCTTTGGTTATACACTCACATGTCATAGTAGTATCGTGCAGTTCAGCTGCATCTTGTTCTTAACAAATTGTAATAAAATATTCAATAAAACTACATGCTTACAAAATATTTCAATCTGCATGATAAAACTGTGAAATAATGACCTGAATAAAATAAGGTGAAACCGGGTTTTTCCTCAAGCACAGTGTGGGATCAACTGTAATTTTTGTCTCTCCAACACAATTTACCATCTACCAAATATTTTGGGTCTAAGTGGAAAATCTTCATACCAGGATTAATGAAAACATTAGGTACACTGTATATGCTTCACAGTTTAGTGATTACACTTTACTTCATATCTCTGTGCTTTAACATCCTTATCAGATCCTTTTTTCTCAGTCATACACTGTTTGCCAGTTATATTCTTCGTGTGATTGATTCATTCATCTCATACAACACTCGTGAATGATTCAATGTGACGCATATATACGTTTCAAAAAACACACATATATTCATTCATATACTTATATTTCTACTTACCTATATCTATGTAACGTACCGTTATATACATACTAAAAGCATTTGATAGATTACTCCACGAGATCTCCCGGTGGGACAGCGGTAAATGTACGGACTTAAACCGCTAAAATCCGGGGGTTCGATTCTCTGCGGTGAACATAATACATAGCTCAAAGTGGCTTTGTTCTAAAACAAACAAAACTTCGAGAGATAAATAACTGCCAGTCAAATGAAAGCTTTTCAGTTAAAATTCTTTCAAACAGGATTAATATTTTTGCTGTCTTCTACAGTATAAATCAAGACGAATACAGGTTAAATACCCTTCAGGAGAGCATCGAAATATTACCAAAATATGAAAATACTCTATTTACTTGTCTGTTATGTTTCTTGTTTTCTTTTTGTTTTTGTAAATATGGTTTCTCCGACTTGCATGCATTATTTCGTTTGAGTGGAGAGAATATGCCGGTTATTTTTTATTATTCTTGTGTCTGAGTTCCTTTCACTGAATCAGCATTTTTATTTTATCACATTCCCTAGTCCCCCGATGTATTAGCAGTAAACTTACGGGCTTACAACGCCAAAATTCAGGATTTTATTCCTCGCGGTGAACAGAGTGAAGTATCCAGCTCATTGTGTAGCTTTGCGCTAAAAACGACAACAAACAGGACAGCCTAATTTCAGTACACTATTATCGAAACATTTATATACGCACCTGGCAGAGAGCGAGACGAAGAGAATTCTGCGTAATTTTACTTTCTACTATCTAGAGGTTTACATACTCATTACCACACGCAAACATGTATGAAGATCGTAGGTGTCTTTTACATATTATGCATTTTTCTTTTCACTTTCAAGACTCTTAAGCGTACAACCTTAGTCATATGATTTTTAAAGTTTTCTGTAATTATTTTAATCTTTTTTTTTTTTAGTTCGCCAAATAAAATTTTTGATTCATTATAAGTAATATGTCCAAAACAATCTTAATAAAACTGAAAACTAAGAAAAAATCATCGTTGTTACAATCGCTATTAGAGCTACAATGTTAATTATTATCAGTCTTTCTTTCTTTTATTGTTATGATTTCAACCTTTATCTGATATATTACGTTATACATTTTCTGGAAGAAGGCTTTCTTCAGCCTTTATATTCAGCTCTATTTCCTCTGATAAACTTTTTGTAATTAGGTAGTCACTTCCGGTTTTGATATGACCTCATTTATAGTTGTATTTCACTGGCTAGTTGTTAAAAAAAAAGGCTAATCTCCTTCCCAATACTACAATTGAGGCGGAACTAACTGTCTTTACAGGTTCCGCATATTTACAGTATTTCCTATTTTACGCCATTCCTAATTAACTCGTGAAGTGTTATTCCTTCAGTTTATTGTAAATTTTATTATTATGTTTATATTTTACGTTCCTTTTCCTCAATCGTTTAGTTAAGCTGTCCCTTGAGTTTGTATGATACCGGCTCTCACCTCCTTAGAATCAATTGTAGCATTATT